ATCTGCATGACTTCTATGTACTTTCTAAAACATTTAAAATAATTATTAATACTTGAGCATTAAATTAAGCTGTATTTAAAGTTGTATAAATTCATTTGTCATCAAGCAAACAAAAAATCCTGGGTTTGTTTTATTGGTCTAAGAAAATATGTCATATCTACCTTTAATTTTAATCATTTCCCAAACAACAAACATTTAACGTTACCAATTTCAACCCTTATTAGGAAAAAAACTAAGCCCCCCAACTTTTTTTTAAGATAAATTTTTTTTGCAATGTTGAAATAGCTTCCAATTAACATTTGACCATGTCAGCTTCCCCAACTCAAAGCTATGAACATTTTCCTCCTGTATTTTTATTCCCTCACGTACAAGAAAAACTAGATTGATATATTCAAATTTGATGTCAAGATTAAACTAATAAAACCAGTAGAATAAGGTTTTAAGATTTTAAATATCACATCTCTCATCTTTTTTGTGGAATTTCCCTGCCCTCACATAAAATCAGTTGGAATTCCACAGAAGCACCAAAAAATCTGGCTTCATGTGAGATGCTGAAGCTCAGGAGCCGTCGGCAGTGAAGTCAAGTTCTGTACCCGGCCCCCCCCCAGCCACTAGATGACACTGCCTCCCCCCAGATAAGAGAGTTGTTAGCAGTTCTCACCAAGAGAGAAACGTGCAATACTTCAGAAATTTGTTACCTTTGGTACTTTTTGGGGTGGATAGGAGTGGAGGGGGGAGATGGGGAAAAAAGCATAAGACTTTCTAGAGATAAAAATTTTAAAAGCTTACATGTCTAGTTCAGGACCAAATCTGTTATAATGTAGCCCTTCTGGGCTCTTTTTTGACTTTCTATTCACTTTTTAGTATCTGGTCAGAGCTATTTCATTGCCAGAATCATGAATACAAAGTTAGCTTAAGCTTTTCTCCCACCAAGCCCCCTCAAATAAAAGACATGGCTGGTAGTTTAAGAATTCATCAAATCTGACCCTCAAATAGTTATTTAAGATGACTTCTCTGGCTTCCTTACTCCTCCAGTTTCTTCTTCTGGGGTAACTGCCTCTAGTAAAAATGCTGCAATGCAGTTGAGATGCTGGTGTAAGGACTCTAAATTATGGGCTAGGGGAATTTTGCTTTCGCTGCACTTCAGTCTAAAAAGCAAAGGTTTTTCTCTGTTTGATCCACAACCTTTGCTTGCCAGTGAGATGGCAGAGCATTACCTGGGTGCCTTTTGCCATCTGGATCCATAGGCACCCCAAGATAACACTAATTCCATGACGAGGAAACTCTCATCACTTTTATTAATATAATTGTTTTTTAACTACTTCAGAATAAAGATTCTGATCAATAAAGATATTGATCTCATTAAACACTTCATAGATTCACTAACTAGAATTATGCATTCATTCTTTGGATATGGTGTCATAAAGTGTAGGAGTTAGTTCAAAATCATTAGTAGTGTAACATACTGTTAAAATCCAAGTGTCACCACCCATCAAAACCTGATCAGCTCTTTCAGTACTCCAGTCACTCAGAACATGTTTCCAAATCTAACATGTAACAAGTATCAAGCTATCCACAAAGGAGAATATGAAATAAATAGAATATACAGTATTTCCCTCTGAAGACCTTTTAACTTACATGGGAATACACATAAAGATGTGGTGGGGGAGGCTTGATTATATGCCAACAAGATACAGATAAGACTGACTTTAGGAAGTAGAGATTGTTATGGAAGAAACGTTTGGAGAAGGTTGCTCAGAATTCATAGAACTCAANAAAAAAAAAAAAAAAAAAAAAAGAACCCCCAGAAATCAGAATGATTTAGAAAACCTAGAATCTAAAAATATATCTAAGATTTGCCTAGATAGGTTTATATTTAGAAACTTCTAAGGTTTGAGAAAATTCTTTCCTTTACATATACTATCCTCTTGTAATAAAATAAAATTGTTGGGATCAATTTCGGAAGCATGACTAGAGCAAAGCTTATCTAACATAGTAGTCAGGAACCTGTCAGAGGCTCTTTATTGCTCCAGTAAACTCCGGTAGCCTGGCCAAGAACTATTCACTTCCTAAGTCATCCCAAGCAACACTTTCCTTCCAGCTCTGTGCAGTGATTTCTTCTAGTTTTCATACATACCTCCTCCAACCAATGGAACTTTGCACGTGCTGTTCCCCTGCTTTGAATGCTAGTCCTTTCCCTTCTTTTCTTGGTTAAATACTATTAATCCATTAGATCTTAGGTCGAGCATTACCCTCTCCAAAAAGCTTTCCCAGACTAGGTCAAATCCCCTAAGCACAGCCTTGGCACGAAAGTCAGACCACTGACAGTTTGCATTTATCTGTGTGATGATCTGGTAAGTGTTTACCTTTTCCACCAGACTGTACAAGTACCATGAAAGCAGAGAATGAGCCCGTTTTTGTTACTCTTATATCACCAGCTGTTACTAGTATTCCAGGAGCACAGGGAGAATGTAAAAAATATTTAAAGGCTGAATAAATGTCATGCAATCTCATGCTCGTTTTGCTCCTGCATTGTTAGGCAAGGTATTTAACTTCATGGGGCCTTACCTTCCTCGTTAGTGAGAAAATGTTTCTTCCATTTCAGAAATTCTACGGTATTTATGGCTCCCGTGTTGAACCTACAGGATTGATCAGGCTAAGGTTAGAAAATCAACACTATCTGCTATCTGCCTGTCTTACATCTCCTCATCAAGCAAAACCATATGCCTAAGCAAGAAACCGGAGTTACCCTTGATATCTACTCCTTCCCTAATGCCACTGCCTTGATTCTGATTTTCTTTACCTCTGATTTAAAAAATTGCAAATGCCCTTAATGGGTGGTCAAATTCAGTTTCTCTCTATTCCCCAACCCAGCCAGTCCATCCACAATCCTGCCAGCAGATCAATCTAAAACACTGGACTCAGTGTGGCACCCCTCTGCTTAAACACTTTCACTGCCTTTCCCATGGCCTCTGGGACAAAACTCACTTCTGGAGAAGACGCCCTTCAGCTGTTCCTGCTCCATTTCCTGTCCTCTCCTCCAGATGCTCAGGAGGACCCAACTACAAGCTCTGTTCTTTCAGGGTCTTCTGTCTTTGTATGGAGTTCTCTGCCCAGAAAACTTCTCCCACCTCCACTTGCAAAATCCTGTCCATCCTCCAGGCTCAGCTCTAACGTTACTTGAATCTGGTGCCTGTCTTGACTGTTTCCCAGGCTAAATCTGTCACTCCCTGCCTGTACTCCTGCAAAACGTTTTGTACAAGCCACCGTAACTGTGCTTATCTGAATGAACTGTGTTTCTGCAGCAAAACACTATGGTTAGGAGCATGGATTTGGAAACCAAATTCTGCAATTTATCATGTGGCCTTGGAAATCATTCCTTCTGGGTCGACTTTCCTTCCTAATGTTGGGAATGAAGGCATAATACCTACTCATTAGGCTGTTGTAAAGATTAAATGAGATAATGTGTTTAATGGTGGAGTATAATGCCTGGTCCACAGTACTCAATAACTAATGGTATTATCAAACTTGAGTGTGCCAAATGCAAGGACCTAGAACTACCTTTTGTCCATCTTGAATCCCAGTGTCTGGCCACATAGTCGATGTTTCTTAAAATGCATAAATGAAAATACTATTTTAAGGTCCTTTCCTTGAAGAGGGATTAGAGGCTTATTCAGTTTGCCACTAATAAGGACTTTTTTTGTTTCTTTTGAGACAAAGTCCTTGCTCTGTCACCCAGGCTGGAGGATACTGGAGTCATTACAGCTCACTGCAGCCTTCACTTCCCATGCTCAAGCAATCAGCACCACTTGAGAGGTGGTTAATATCCACTCCTTCCCCCCAGAGCCGGTGTCTCTACGTTGCCCAAGCTGGTCTCCAACTCTCCAGTTCCTGGGCTCAAGTGATCCTCCCACCTTGGCCTCCCACAGTGTTGGGATTACAGAGCTGAGCCACCACACCCAGCTGATAAAGACATTTTACTGAAATACCAAAAATTCCACTGATCTTACACCTCCAAATCAAATTCATCCTTTACCTTTGCTAAACAAGTCCTGAACTTACAGAGGTAACTGAGGTCCTAGTTTGAAGTAGTGTTTTCTGCTAAATGATCTCGTCACAATTTTAGTCTTTACTGAATGTACATCAATTCCAGTCTTCGCATATCCTATGTGGAACACGAATTCTATTTTCCTTTCTCATATGAAAAGGAACAGCATGCATGGATATAGGATTTACGTTTCAGGTTTTGTGGGCTTTAAATCCTCTAAGTGACTCCTAACCCAAGTGACTTTTCTAAGATCACAGTTGGTGGGTGGCCAAGCACACGGGAACCACTGCAAACTAGCGCAGTGTCCTGGACACTGTCCACAGCATCGCATTATCCCCCAACAGCCTAAATTCCTTGAAGGCAAGGTTCGCAGCGTGCAATATTGGAGAGCTGGGCTGGCCGGTGCATTTCCTCTTCCGTCCAAGTAATTCCTCTAGAGGAGCAGAGGGCAAACTACGTTCCCATTAAAGCCAGGTTTAAAAACCTCTAACCTTGGAAAAGCACACTTCAACCCTCGGCACACCAAACTTCTCTAACGTGGTTTCCCTCTGCCCCTTTCTCCTTGGCGTTCCTCGTTCACTCCCTCTAGGGTCTTTATAAGGGCAAGTGAATGTAGGGTTGGGAGCCTGCTTCGCCCCTTCTATTTACCAGGGGCGGGTCATCCTTCGGGCCAGGCCGACCGTCTAGGGGTGGTCCTTGGATACCTGCCCCCCGCAGGTGACCCCCTTCCGCCCACCGGGGAGGAGGGCGCGTCCCGCTAGTTCCGTGGAGACGCCGCGTAGGCGCACACGCCTCACGCCCTCCTCGCCGAAGCTGCAAAGGCTGCGGCTCTTTGTAGCAGCCACACCGGAAACGGCCCGGAGCGCGCGTAGGGCGGCCGCCGAGGGTCCCGGCGCGGGGCGGGGCTGCCGGGCCCGTCCCTCTCCCCACGGGGGCGCGCGAGGCCCGGGCGGGGCCGCCGTCCCTTCCGGGGAGCGGGGAGCGGGAAGCCGCCGCGTCCGCCGGGCGGCTCCCACCCCGCCCCCCGCAGCTTTGGGTGACGCGTCTCCCATAACAGCTCGCCGCGAGCCGCCGCTCGGGCACAGCCGGCGCCCGCGCCCCGCCACCACTATGTGGGCCGAGGGCCTCGGCGGCCTGGAGCGCTTCTGCAGCCCGGGCAAGGGCCGGGGGCTGCGGGCTCTGGAGCCCTTCCAGGTGGGGGATTTGCTGTTCTCCTGCCCGGCCTACGCCTACGTGCTCACAGTCAACGAGCGGGGCAACCACTGCGAATACTGCTTCGCCAGGTAGGGCGGCGGCGGGCGGGAGCCGGGGGGCGCGGCGCGGGAGGCTTGGACCGCGGCGCCAGGAAGTGCGCGCGGCTCGCGAGGTCCTAGCGCCGGCAGCCAGACTGGGGGCGGGGAGGGGAGGAGGCCCCGCGCTGCAGCTTCACGCCCGGCGCCACGTGCGAGAGGAAACTGGACCGGTGCCCGCCGCATGCCCTGCACTGCACGTTTTCAGTTACTCACGCAGGATGCGCAAACCCGGGAGTGCAGTTTCCTGCCCTCAGATGTGGGCTCCGAGCCAGGCTTGTTCCAAGCCTGGGCACACACTGCCCTCTCTGTGCATTGGTAGCAGATCCCCAAATTTGGGCAGCCACGGGCTGTCACCTTTAACTTATGCTTCCTGCGGTGTGTTCTCTTCCCCACAGTCCAGCCCTGCCTCAGATTGGCCTTTTCTTCCAAGGAATTTAATGACTTAGTATTTGTCTTGTAAAGTACATGTACATGTTAAAGTACGAGGACATAGGTGTTTGGAGGGACGCAAGCCGGCACTGACCACACCCTCGGGATTCTGAGGGGCTGTAAGGATAAGAAGTGTCCGGTTTTGGTTTGGGATTAGGAAAACATGGTCGCAGGGAGGGACTGGGCAAGATGTGTGGTTGGTAGTGATATTTCATTGTAATATGCCGTATGTATCTATGATAAACATATATTTGCACATACGAACACCTAATTATATCCTCAACTTTTATGAGAGTTTCAGAGTTGAAATGCACGTTAGAAATCACCAATTCAATCCTGTCTTTCATTTAATGAATGAGAAAGCTAAAGCCCAGAAAGGAAGTGGGGTTACCTATATCCATTCACACCAGTAGCGAAGGGGGTGAAATCTGGCCTCATTCACTTCCACCTGTTTCTCACTGGTTAGGTGCTCAGTAAATTTACTAAGGCAGGAGGCATGGCGTTGGGGTTAAGTTTACATCAGGCCTTCCAGTACTGAGTAGAGACCTCGCTTTGCTTTCTTTGGACCTCAGTTTCTTCATCTTTGAAATGGAGATTCCTAGGCTGGATTAAGCTGACGTGCGGTCCTGCAGGGACCTTTTGAGTACAGGTCTCAAGTCCAGCATACTCAATCTCTCAGACCTGTATGCCTTATTCTACAATAAGACGTAGCAAAAAAAGGGACAAAGGCTAAATATTATAGTAATCTTGCCCAGACTCCCTGCCAGAACTGTCTTCCGCTTGGGGGGACCTGGAAAGGAACTAGACACGGAATCATGCCGTGGGCAGCTTAAGGGCTGTATGTGATGTGGCTCTTTGAATTGGTGAGCCAAGAGCTAAAGGGTCATGGCACCACTTTGCAACGTTTGAGTGAAGTGAGCATTGGGTTTTCCCAAAGTTAAAAAGGCTGCTGTGACTGGTCCCTTGATCTTCTGAGCCTTGCTGTGGCTCGGAGTCTGCAGCAGCGTGGGTGTCTGCAGTGGCAGGAGCAAAGCAGGTCAGGCAGCACAGAAGGAGCCTCCATCGGGGATCCTGGCAATTCCTGGAACCATCGCCTAAGACAGTGGATGCCAGGCACATAGTAGGTGCTTACTTTATATGGGTAGTTGCCAGTCCTCGCCCCCAGTGAATTAAAGATCAAATCCCTCTGGGTTTAGAAGGGATGAGAAGAACAGAGAGATGCTTCTCTTTAGCTGTAAGTCTCCTAATTGTTTCTACTACACATACCCCTAACCTTAGAACATTAATGGATGGTCAGATGCAACTTCACAAGGCATTCAGCCTTTGTCACTCATATGTGACAGAGTTTGCTGGCTTTTTGTTGTTTCATTTTTCTGATTGACATTTATTAGTGTTACTCACTATTGCTTTGGGTCCCTCACCAGGCTGCAACTTACAATGGGGTGATGTTACGACTTGCAAACCCCTTCTTTGACTTCTCTGAACTTCTTCAATACCCATAGTTTATTTCCTCTCTCTCCCCAAAGAGTTATTTGAAATCAACTAAAATAATACAAAAGAAATAATACTCATGATACATATGCAATTAGAAATATCTTTGTACCCCACTTTATGATTTCTATTAAATCTGAATCATTTAGAATTAGTGGTGAGATCATCTGATAGATTCAACATCAGTTCCTCTGTCAACAATTTGCATATGACCTAGGACAAATCAGTCTGTCCAGATGTACTAGGGGAATGTGTATTTTCCTCCTTAAAGCCTCATTTAAGAGTAGAATTCTGCAAATGTTCATACATACAGGTCAAAATCTGCTGCCTCCCCTGGCCCCACACACCCAAAAGAAAGCTACCCCTTATCCTTTCTTTTGCCAGAAGTTTAATGTAAACAATACTGCTTAAGATAAATGAACTACCCAAGAATTTCCATGTCTTTTTTTTTTTTTTTTTTGGAAACAGGGTCTTGCTCTGTTGCCCAGGTTGGAGTGCGGTGGCGTGATTTCAGCTCACTACAACCTCGGCTTCCCAGGTTCAAGCGATTCCCCTGCTTCAGCCTCCCGAGTAGCTGGGATACGGGTGCTTGCCACTACGCCCGGCTAATTTTTGTATTTCTAGTACAGATGGGGTTTCACGATGTTAGTCAGGCTGGTCTCGAACTTCTGACCTCGGTTGATCTGTCCGCCTTGGCCTCCCAAAGTGCTGGGATTACAGTCGTGAGCCACCATGCCCAGCTCCATGTCATATTAATTATATCAGGATTAACTTTCTTTGAAGGAAAGAAAAGTGATTTCTTTAGGAATAAGTATATTCTATAAATTGAGAAATAATGGAAAATGTCTTAAGTTTCAACAAAATAGGATTCTTGTAGTTAGGACAATTCAGACAAAGGTTTGTTTTGGGGAGTTTTTAATTTGTATCACATTTCTCAGTCTGGTGGGTGCCATGGAGAAGATGTGTATCTTGTTTGAGTTACTGGAAGGCAGCTCCTAATAATATATAAATGTCTTCCACCTGGGAGATACACTTTATACACACATACACTTTATACACACATACACACATGCACAGTTTCACCATTTATCACTGTTTTTTGACAAGTTTTTTTTCCAGATATGGAAGGTTTTTTTTCCAGATATTATATATATATATTTGAGATGGAGTTTCACTCTTGTTGCCTAGGCTAAAATGCGGTGGTGCAATCTCAACTCACTGCAACCTCTGCCTCCTGGATTCCAGTGATTCTTCTGCCTCAGTGTCTTGAGTAGCTGGGATCAAAGGCATGCGCCACCACACCTGGCTAATTTGTGTTTTTAGTTGAGATGGGGTTTCTCCATGTTGGTCAGGCTGGGCTCGAACTCCTGGACCTCAGGTGATCTGCTAGCCTGGGCCTCCTGAAGATGATAGGCGTGAGCCACTGCACCTGGCCAGGTGTTTTATATTTTAAACTGAGTTTTAGACTTTTTTTTTTTTTTTTTTTTNTTTTTTTTTTTTTGGAGATGGAGTATTGCTCTGTCTCCCAGGCTGGAGTGCAGTGGCATGGTCTTGGCTCACTGCTACCTTTGCCTCCTGGGTCAAGCAATTCTCCTGCCTCAACCCCTTGAGTAGCTGGGAATACAGGCACCCACCACCATGCCTGGCTAATTCTTGTATTTTTAGTAGACACAAGGTTTCACCATCTTGGCCAGGCTGGTCTTGAACTCCTGACCTCATGGTCCACCCACCTCGGCCTCATAAAGTGCTGAGATTACAGGCGTGGGCTACCACGCCTGGCCAGGCTTGGGTTTTTAAAGCCAAAAAGAGAGCTTGGCCTTGATGAGGCACATAATAAAGGGCAACTGGGAGTTCTTCAATCAAGTGTCATTATTAAAGCAGTTATTTTAAGACAATGTGTTTGACAGCAGTAGCAAAGGCATACGGAATAGGGAGAGACCTTAATGATGCTCATCTGCAAACTCCTGTTTAAGAAACCGGTAATTTTCATTACGAATGTTCATTTTCCCTGGGTGGCAGAAATGTCATCTTGGTCAGTTTCCTGGAGTCGCCTCTTGCATTTGACTGGCACAGTGATGCTAAGGCAGTGAGCACTTGGCAGGGGTGGGAACATCTGGTCCTTGGTCATTAGACCACACAGATCTCTGGGTCATCCCTTGCTCTCATCCACAACGGTGCTCTTGGATGGTGTCCTGGTTCATTCTAGTTACAATAACAAAATGCCACAGCCATTTCTCACAGTTTGGAAAAGAGAGATCAAGGTGCCAGCAGATTCAGTGTCTGGCAAGGGCCTTTTCCTAACACATAGTGCCTTCTTGCCTCACACTGTGCGAGGCCCAAACAAGCTCCCCTGGGCCGTTTATATAAGGGCACTAATCCCATTCATGAGGGCCATGCCCTCATGGTCTAATCACCTCCCAAAGGCCCCAATTCTTAACAGCACATGCTGGAGGTTAGGATTTCCACACAGGAATTTGGCGGGGAAGAGGTGCTACGTGGGGAGTGGCACAAACATTTCAGATCACAGGTGGCTAACTTGTCTGCTCTGGTGCTCCTCTTGGGTGCATGGGAAATCACTCTCCTGTTTCTCATGAAGTATTTCAGTCATTTCTCCTACACGTTGAATTTCTATTACACAGGGAGTCTGGGGGTTAATGTAAGACTAGGACATAGGTCAGCCTTGTTCTGAATTCCCTCAAACCCATGGAGGGGTTAGTTACGTTGCCTCACTCATCCAAGGTTCAGTCTGGAAGGAGACTATGGTGCATGCCTCTTTCTCAGAGAAGTATCCCAACTTCTTTCTGGCTTTCCCTCCGATTTTCCCTTATCATAGGCCTGGAGAATCTTTTCTGGCAGAGGGAGTCCTGGCTCCTGCATCATCCTGAATTTCCTAGGACTGGAGCCCTGAGTCCCCCAAGTCCTTAGGTTTTTGCAATCCAAAACCCTAGGCTTTTGAATATAAACCCAGGGGCCTTTTCACTCCTATTCTGCAATATCATTTCTTCTCTAAGTCAATGCCACTGACTAACTGGGAAGTTAATGGTAAGGGGTAAAAGGAAACACAGAGTTGA